ACGTTCTTCTTTAAAACAGATACGTTTCATAAGCTATCAAGTTCACTAAAACTGTATGTCTTATATTAGATATTTGTGCTTTAAAAGGGAAGTATCAATGAATAATACTACAATTATAGCATGCATAGTTACTAAATCAACATAGTGAAGAAGGTTTACGGCATTCAATTTTTTTTGTTCAATTTAATCAAAATGAAAGTTATTTTCAATAAGTAAGAAAGAGTAAGTTCACTTTAGGACGGTTCATTCTTTGTTCGGATAATTGATTTTCTCTTTTATTGATGTTGAGGCTGATTTGTATTAGAGAAGACGCTCTGAAAAGGATTATCTTGCATCGTCAAAAATGAGTTGAAGGTTCTGTTAATCTGTATTTATTTAAGTAGTAAATGGTTTATTTTAAGAACAAAAAGCATAATTTTTTAATGTAAATTGTCACTGGTAAAAAGTCACTTTAATGATATACTCAGAATAGGTGAGAATTTATATTTTAACTGTCAAAAATATTTATAATTTGTGAAAAATCTGCATTGATTAATCACGGATAAAATTAACGTTTCAATCTGAAGTCGTGAATTTTTCTTTCTAAGTGAATGATATTATTTTTATTTTTTATATTTAAAACATGCAACTAATTATCAATACTAGCTGTACCCGCGGGCTTTGCCCCGTTTAACTTCATAAGTATTCGCATGGCTCAATTACGTCCTGGTTGAAGTTCGTTCGCTACGCTCATTCACCTTTAGGTTAGAGCTCGTTCGCTGCGCTCACTTGCCTTCAGGTTAGCTCGTTCGCTTCGCTAACTCACCTCCAGGTTGAAGTTCATTCGCTACGCTCACTCACCTTTTGGTTGCAAATTAGCTGTTGTCATAAATAAAAAAAAATAATAGTGCTGTACCCTGTTGGTAATCCTTGTAACTTTGATGCTATTGAACATCATAGAACAGAACCAACTTGTTTAATTGAAACAGCTGTTAAGATTCATTAATTCCTTTTAAATATGAAAAATCATAAGGTTAACATGGAAATTCCAGAGCCACTGGGGCGGAGCCCGAAATGCCGATCAAAATAAAAACTACTTAGTTTTCCTATTTAATGCCCAAATAATCGGTGTACCGAATTTCAGGCTCCTAGGTAAATGGGAAGTGGGAGAATTAGTGATGAGTGAGTAAGTCAGTGAGGGCTTTGCCTTTTATATACAGGGTTAGTAAAAAGTGTGGAGACCCCCTGTTATTTTTATAGTTTCCCCCAAAATCCCCCATTTTGGGTTTGGGAACTTATGAGAATTTCAATTGGCTGCCATTTTGTACTGAGCTGAGATAACGACCTCTAGTTTGCGTTGTTGGTTTTCTTTTACCAGGACCTTCAAAATGAGGGGTCACTCGATGGGTCTTTGTATTTGAAATTTTTTAGTTTACCCCAAAATTTCCCAGTTTGGGGATGAACACCAAGTGGCGGTTGTGCCCAAAAAGTACTTAATAACATGCCATAATGGTGTGCCGAGTTTAGTTTTTCTAGTATGGGCCGTTAAAAAAATAACAGGGGGTCTCCACATTTTTTACTTACCCTGTATTTAAATTTACTATCATGACCAGGTTGAAAAACATTAAATTGAACGCCGACGAAGAATGCATGTTGTGAATTTATGATCCAATACCCTATTTTAAGTAGGCTATTTCACGATTCCATCATAAAACATATTACATGCCTGATGAATACTAGGTCGAATTTGCTGTAATAAAAGTATGCTTATGTAATAAACCTAGATTATCTATAAGCTCGTTTGAGGTTAGCATAAATGCTATGTAGGACATCTTCAAAGTCCCCTCTTTAAGCACTTTTATCACTACAAACATTTACATTCTAGTTTTACAGAATGACATATCTTTGTGTTATTGGTTTACGTATTTTGATGCAGGCATTTTTTTTATGATTTGTGAACTAATGTATTTTCCTCTTAACTAATAAAATGATTTTTGTGTTAGGCAATATTCATTTAAGCCTTGGTTAAGTGGGGAAAACTAGTTTTCTGAACACTAGGGAACACAATGGTTTACGGTAGCGGTAAATACCTCAGATGTCGCTTCACCGTGATCAAGCGACAAACGCAACACGAGCTATGAACATAACGCCAGTAATTGAATCAACACAAAGCTTGATTGAATCAACGTGCCCTCGTGGGAGCAATAACAAGCAGAGGAAATAAAATAAAATATGAAGCACCTTGGTTGTTTTGAACGGTGAAATACACTGCCATACATTTATTTACAATTCCAAATTAAGCGTTTAACACTGATTCGTTGAGTTATAGATTTGACGAATTACCTAACAGTTTCTTTTTTCTAATCCTTGAAAAATTATACCACGTGTAAATAGGCTTATATTTCAAATTATCACTAAACACATTATATAAATATATCATTATAAAATGGTTTGGGTTACCTTTTGCGATCCTTGTGTAGTAAGTGATAACTACAGCTGTTTCATGCCGCTGGGGCACATCTTCAGGTTGTAGAGCGTCAAGATAAAATAGCTGTCATTCGTGGATGATTTTGTCGAAATAAATATTACACAGAAAACATAAATAAGAAAACATTTAAATACACGAATTTAACAAACTTGGCCAAGTGACAAACTGACAAACACGCGAGACAGGCGCCGGTGAATGTTGCGTCATGACTCTACTAGAGGCGATCCAGAGGCTAACCCATCATGAAAAAATGCATTACAAGGTAACTAAACGTGTTATACGTCAAATTGAAGCTAAAATAACTAAGTTTTGTTTCCCGTGCAGCAAGGGAGGAAACTTTGACCTTGGTATGCGTAAAACAGTTTCGGCGTGATAGGCCGCTATTGGGACTCATATGCCTGACGCGAGTCGCCAGTGCGACGTTTACGGCGCAACAGAAGGCACAGATTATAATCTGTAGTTCGCAGAGGTTATATCTATTGAAAAATTAAAGTCAATTTAAATCTACTTGATGATAAAGAAACTTGAAGCTGGTTTAATGAGTTTTGTGGCACCGAAGTGTTTTGAATAGACATTCACCAGGCCGGCTAAAAACAAACGATGACATAGTTGAAGAAAACCGACATTTCTGCATCATAAGCCCGAAAAATCGATTGCCCGACGAAGTATTCAGTTTAAAAGACCTAAATTGGTCACTTTATGTTGATATCTATAAACGATAGAGTCTTTGTGCCGAAAAAAAATTATAAGACATAAGATAAAGTTGCCGATCGCCCTAAGCGTACACACTTTGCCAGTTTTACGCTCATATAAGATTGATGAAAATCTGAATGTTATTAAATCATTCCGAATTGTATGAATGAATGAGAAAAAAACTTTATTCTTTCCCCTTCAATTTGACGTTTAAATCGTTTAATTATCTTGAATAGTCCCTTAGCAACGACCGTTTGAAATCCCGGCATTCTTTTAAAAACACCCTGTATATCATGTAAAACTATCGTTAAAAACGTAGATATATGTGGATTTAATCAGTAGAATGAATGAAACAAAAATTAAATTAATATTTCTTATTTACACTTTATGACTCTAGTGTAACGTATCACACTATTTTTCTGAACTTCTGTGCCTTCACAATTCGATTTCATAATTACACCCTGGATTAGTAGTAACCCATAGCATAAACGTTATGCCAATATTACAATACTATTCTCTCAACTTGGTTACTAAGTGCTCATAATGTTATGAAGCACTTTTGTAACCACTGACTTATGACGAACACAAACTAACCGATTGTTTTAGTCACGCGTCTATTAATATTTTAGCCTATTAAGCTGGGATCGGTGAATGGTTACTTGCCATAAACATTTCTTATTTTGCCTGACGTTAGTTAAATATTTAATTAATCTTGGGTTTAGTATTTTATTAAAAATAAATAAAAAAAGAACTGCTTAAGACCAGCGTCATTACATTTCAATCATATAATTAGTTAGTTAAAATTTAGAATAAAATCAACATAAAGCTAAGTGTCTTAAGGCTACGGTTTTGAAGTTCCTAATGTATCTGGAGAGCATATTATTATTGAAATCATCTACTGTAGTCGAACAGAAAACTACACTTAAATAATTATAATAACAACTGTTGTTAGGACAACTGAACGTTGCATATGATGCTTACAATCTCAATGACCTATCAAACAAATACAGTTTCACAGACAAATCTAAACCACGGTGGAGTTCTGTTTTTGAAGCTGCTTTAAAACTCTCATGTATACTTTCGCATCAATCGCTGGATATTGAAGTGAAATATTAGTAGTTGTCCCATTATGAGAATCCACTACGGTATTGACCCATTTAACACTAATTTAATGATACCGTATTGTCATCATAACTAAGATTTATTTATCTTTGTTTTATATTGCATACTTTCCTGTCGTTATGAATTGTAGCAGCACCAGTGTAAGATATTTCAGTAATTTAAATTTGTATTTGTTTACAATTGCTGCAGTGGAGTAAAAATCTGTTACAATTTTATTCTCATAGGAATTGGAATTCATTTTTTCATCTGGTTACGTCCATGAAGAGCTTAAAAAAAAGTTAGCTTTGCTATAGATTCTTATAGTTACAGGTCAGATAACTAAACACTAGCACGATAGGAAAATATTAATATGTTCAATACCTTGGTAATAACTGTTTGTATAAACAGTTATATAAAAAAATTATTTAAAACACATTTTAGAGCTGATTTTTTAATTCATTCAACACCTTTGTTGGTTTAAAAGAGGACAGTCATAAAACTAATGTCATTCTGAATGCCTTCACGACCTTAGCCCATGCTTCGTTTAACACGTGTTCGTGTTGAAAGGAGTCCCTTATGAATTTAGCGATAAAACATACTGTTGTAGCATGGCTGTAAAAGATATTATGTTTGTGTCGTATCACTTAACTCCAAAGTCGTGTGCAACGTGACATTGTGTTTTATCGGGCTGCACACGAACTTAAAGCGGATCTATCCTAGGATAATCAGTTTCAAGAGGATGTTAACCACTATCTTCGTCTTCTCCTCCATCGTCGCCTGCTCGGCGAGCATCCCTGACATGGGCCCATGTGATGTCCCCATATGTACGCAGTACGACTTTGACTTTGATATGGTATATACCAAAGTGACTTAAACACTTTTAACTCAACCTTACTTCAATAATTACTTATCTAAGGAAGAATATAAACTGATTATGCATTTTATGTAATCTTTTAAAATATCCATATCGTTTTAACATCAATTGCAACAAATAATTATTGTCTACATCCATAGATTGTCGAAGTGGCAGTTGAGCTTAATTGTCATCACACTTAATACAAACAACAACAATAACAATAACAGATACTCACTTATTTTGAGTGGTGTCGGTAGTAACCATGAGAAACATATAAATATGCCGCTTATAGATCACTGTGTAATATGTTGCCACATTCAGCTAATCCATTACTCCAAATGCAATTGTATCCTATTTTTCAGGTATTTTTAACGCTATTGATGTCTTGTGTGTGAGTATGAATTAATAGTAAAATGTATTACATCTATATGTGTGGTTTACTATAATATTGGAAGTAATGTAAACGTAATGTTTAGTTCCACAGAGAGAACGGGGGCTGCTGGCATGTGGCTTATGGACCTGACACAAGTTTCAACCGAAACCTCAGTTCTATGACCATAAATATCGATCCAATTGGGAACGGCCAATATAGGGACATAATTACATACTTAACGTAAGTATTAACACATACATTATACTTTTGTATTCCGAATGTAAAAATGCTTAACATACTGTTAATAAGCTATTGTACACATGTTTACATATGAAAATAATGGTAACAGCGAATACAACTAACTTGTAACTTTTAGTTTTTTTACCAAACTATTAACTGATTCGTCAAATAGAACATAATACTATCTTACTATTTTATTATACTACTATCTCCTAAAATAAATGTATGGCAATTATTAACGCAAAAAAACAAAACAATTTGTTATTAGAAGAGAAATAGTTTATAAAAATAGAAATAGTTATTTGTGTTTAAATTGTATTAGGAATGGATCCCGATTGTATGGGTTTGTACACACAGATATTTCCTCAGACCACGCGGAATTTCTAATGTTTATCCTTAACGAAAAATTACAGTTCCGGTCTCACTCGATTTTCAATACGATCCTAAACTCAAGCGCAGCTGACCGAAGATCTGATAACATCAGTGATAAAGCTGGGTTTTCCTAGGCGCGGAAGCGGAGAGCGGTGAGAGGAACACGGAGAGCGGAAAAGAGATTAACATGGTGTTCCGCTCCGCTTCTAGGAAAACAGTAACATTAAATTACCTAAGACAAGTGGAGTCCGCTCTCCGCGTTCCTCTCTACGCTCTCCACTTCCGCGCCTAGGAAACCCCGGCTTAACAGTAGAGGAGACGTCGTGACGTAGATCTCCAGTCTGCTACCAACGCAGTGCCGCTCCGGACTAAATCAGTATTTTGATAGCGCTTTTTAAATTTGTGTGTATTCGTACCATTTTAATGTTTTTATGTTCGTGGCATCCTTGTTTTAATTGTGTTTTTCACGAGTTGAAAGCTTTGAAATGTTGTCTTCGCAACGAAACATGTAAGCCGATGAGCAATACCAATCATTGGACTATTTGACAAAGGTTTGTTAAGCCTATCATTGTCTAAATTTATTGTTGTTTAATGTTGTTAATTGTAATCTAAATTTATAGGAAGGACGGAAAGAGCGGTCTGTTGGCGGAAGAGGTTATAACCAACAATGGTCACGGGGTCTGCACCGCTACAACAACAGGTAGGTCTCGGTTGTACTCTAACCAAATAACAATAAATGTTATATTTACAATACACATAATAATTACAGCTATCAACTATGAGGCTGTGACTTGTATTGTATTTATTATCGTAACTAAGGGCTAAAACATATTTATTATAGCCAATTCACACAATATGTTTAAAATAACAATTTAAATAATGCAGATATTTATTCATCATAGTTGCTGTTAAATGTGAATAAGGTAATGATATAATCTGGAATGATACTGATGATTTTAAGGAATTGTAATTTTAGTCAAAGAAGTTAATTTAAAAATGTATTGTAGGCTGTGTTTAAACATTATGTATTGCATTTTAAAGTTTTATTTTAAATTTTTAGACAAAGAAGTATACACAATTAACTTCCTTCATTATGACCCAGGAAAATTTTGCTTTTACTACATCTGCAGTTCAGAAGGAAGTAAGTATATTTAGTATTAATTACAAAAAGTGTAATTTATTATTGGATATATCCAGGACAGGTTTGGATTTGAAATTCGAGTTTAAAATATGTGTATTAGTTGCTTAAAATAAAAAAATGCATTGTCAAAACGTATTATCAGTTCTAATATGTACAGGGTTTTTCCAAAATGCAAAATTAAACGATTGGTACGTCCGCTTCCATGATTTCAAACAGCTGATTATTACATCAATGCAAGGCCCCACCAGAAAAAAAACATCAATGCAATGGGCGCGTTTATAAGTATTTTTTACAAGAAGGTTATGTTATGTATTGTCCCGATTTGAGTACAATTTGAGTGCTTATTTGGGTACAACAAAACCTGTCATAAAATTCAAAGAATATAAACAAAAATCTAAGGTATTTTGGCAACATTTTGTGCATTCTAGCTTGTCAGTAAGTTTCAATGCTTGAAATAACTACAGTTTGTACGGGTTACGCAGGGTTCCGTCTCAAACTCTTGTGTAAAACCGTGGATTGTGACGTGTGATGTTCCCTATTGTACCAGCTTGACTCTGTACAAACTCAGCTTCGATTCTCTGCACAGCGTCTGGTGGAGTCTGAGGACGGCCCGAACTCTTTCTGGCACACAAACATCCAGTTGTCTTAAATTACTTCATACAACGAGCTATGCAGTTCTGATGAGGAGCCTCATTCCTGTATTTGGTCCGAAAGCTCACATCACTAACAATAGCAATAGTACGAGCAAATTCTCAAATATAACACGCATTATCTTGTTTTTTGTAGCTATTTGTTAGCAGGCTTCGTTGTAAGCCTAAGCAGCTATTAAACCTTGTCAAAACAAACTTATAAACACGCCTTTTCCATTGTTGTAACGATCAGTTGTTTGAAATCACGGAAACGGACGTACTAACCGTTTAATTTTGCACCATCATTGTTGAATTACCCTATTATATTACCTATAGATTACCTATAAGTTTATTCCAGTTTAGTATTAGTTCTAGCTGGCGTTTCTTGGCTTTAAGTTTCACTCGCTGAGTTCATTTACAAAACCATATACATGTTACAATATACCTCTGTTATGTTTAGATGACTACAAGATAGACTACAGATACGTCTTGGCCCATAGACTCCTGACAGCAGATGAAAAATCAGCTGTCTACGCTATTGACAAAGAGTATGACTTCCAAGGTGAACTAATACCATTATGAAATATCTAACCAGAAAGATTACATTTAAAAACTACAACATGTATAACTAATAAATTTAATTTATGATAGTGTTTCATAAAGTTATTTTAAATACCGCTACTTAAACGATTGTTTTACACAAGAATATATTATATGGTATGTAATGTTTTGATTTTTAATGCGTGATTGCAAATTTTGTCCAAATTCACTTGGGTAAATATGCGACATGCTGAGCATTGAAATGTTACTAAATAGGACTTAAAAAAATATAGTTATACGTGTTAATGCGTCAAAGACACAGTGTTGCAAAACCCAATAATTTACAATAATAGAAATTTTTGAAGTTTGAAGATTTTTTTTAGTTTAGATTAAAGGTACCAATGTTCTGCCATACGTTGTATTTCTCACGGAGTCGTCCCTGTTAAATGTGTAAAGATAAAATTTATAATGTCTATACAGTGGAATGAGTAAAATTGAACTCTACCATTTAGGAATTAGACTTTATTGAAAAAACAGAAAAATATACAGAATACTGTAAATTTTTCGAATAGATTTTGCTAGGAAATATTACCTTGAACATTAACTGTTTGTCTTGTAAACACGTGCTAAGACCCAAATCATCACTACACCTCCATCTGGAAATGGCCTAATAAGAGTTAGGAAACAAATACAAGTTTATCGATAGACTAATAAGCACATACAGTGGTACTAACGTTGCATTTAGAATCAGGCCATTAACATTTATTTTAAGCAACTGTTCACAAATCTTAAATACTTCCAAAAAAGTAAAGTAGTATAAAGTAAAGCAAGAAGTAAGGAATTTCCCACTGTATTTGGCCATATTTCATACTCGTTGTCAATTTATAAATAATTGTCTTAAGGCTGGAACATGGAAGAATGGACGAAACGGAGGAATGGACTCATAGGCGAATATTCACGTCATTGTACTACTCAAGAAAAATATTCTGAAAACTACAATTTCAAAAGTGTATTCATTACCAAAATAAAGTATGGCGATATCAGATTAAAAAATTCCGATTGCACATTAAATTATATTTTGTCCACAACTGAGTAACTAAAATATTATTAAAAGAGCATTTTAATAAAATAATAAATAGATCAGTAGTAATCAGTTTTAAGTTTACTTGAAGTATCCAGGAAATCCCCATGTAGGTTATCAGATTACACAGGTTTCACGGTACCGTTCTTTGCTAACACATCCACGTTTAGTCGAGCGTCTTATGCATTTATATTGGAGAACACAGTGTTGTTAAAATTGCGCCAATGGAGTATTATGGAGGAAACCTAGTTCATGATAATAGTTTTAATAGATTTTCACAAGTATTTAAATAATACTGTTTACCACAAAACATTTTTATCGAACCTATTGACCTGAAAGAGTATTATCTGAACCTAGTAAGACAACTTTTGATGTGACATAAATCTTATGGGTTTAAAAATGTTATAGTGCCTAAAAACATAAAATGTTTACTCCACTACTAAATTCCCATAATTCTAAAAAAAATCGAGTACCAATAAGCATTTTGCTTGGTTTAAATTTATTTTCTTCCAGTTGACGTTTTCCACTTACTTATTTTAAAGGTAATGAGATGGTCAGTTTGGGGAAGTTATAACAGAAATTGTCTTCTAGTAGTCAGGTAGCCTGGTTTCTTCATGCTACCAGTTATAAGTTTCTCTTAAAACTCTGGAAAGATTGGGTCAGAAAGAAAGCCATGTATAATTATTTCTTTATCTGTGTAATAACCTTGCAGTAGCCTACTCAAAGAAATATTTTTTTCTACAAATTCTTTGTCTCATGATATTAACATTTCTCATAATCCAACCGATAGTTTTACTTTGATATTAACCATAACTCATTAATGATTTAAACTAACTTTTTATGTGTTGATCCCATATGCTTCGTGACTTGAAGAGCCACTTTAAGTTAAGCCTACTTACCTAAATATATACAGTATACAAAGCTGCCCTTATTTCGTAATAGAGGTAGATACCAGTTAGGAAATTTATGGCCTTGTACACTCCATGAATATGTATTCTATAACAAAATCATATAACACAGTTTTATAAAAATACCCCCGCCGCAGCAAACCTGCCGACTAAGCGAATTTCCAGTTGCCTGAGTTGATTTTCAATTAAATGTATTTAATTAACATTAATTTTTATGAGTACATAGTCTTGCTCCTACAGGGAGGGTAAAAAAGTGTTTCTTTTTAGAGAAATATTAATAACTTTGTATAAAATAAATAAATTTACCAAGTTTGATCAAAATATATCCATAAACAAGCAGACTACAACATTTTACAATATTCCCCATAAGAATAACATGGGAATTTTAAAATAACAATTATTTGAATTTTCTCCGTAACTAATAATAGTACAAAAAAAACTTTGATATACTAAATTATTTGTTTTTTTTTAACTCTTTAAGAAGGTCTGAAGAGAAATTAGGAAATTTTGCGTTTGGAGGGTCAAAAATTAGAAAAACCAATTTTGACCCCATAAAACCCCCCGTAAAACCCCGTTCACATGGTCCGATCATGCTGGTTCGCGAACTCATTCAAGTTTATCCCGCCATACACCTTCAAACCAAATTTCATCAAAATCGGATAAAAATTACTCAAGTTATCGTGTTCACGGACACATATATATATAAATATATATATATATATATATATATATTATATATAATATATATATATATATTTTATATATATATATATATATACATATATAAAAATTTGAACGAATGGTGTTTCTGGCCTCTGGGGACATCAAAATGAAAAAGTAAATCGGTCCCGGGCCTAGGTCTTACCATGCCACCTACGGTAATAGCTACTTCCCTATAGGGAAATTCGCTAAAAGCACCAAAATATTTTCTCATTTGTTAACAAAACTACAAAGCTGAATTTTGTACCTTAAGCTGATATTTGTATGACCATCTAAAGATGTTTCGTAGATTTGTTAAGATGGTTCTAAAAGGGTGTTTGGTTTTATAAAAATATAATAGGGGTCTTTTTTAATACCAATATGTGGTTTTAAATAAGGCCTCCCCCAAAACATTTTTCTGTAATCTATAATTAGCGTTCTTTCAAGTGACCCACTGATTTTACAGATGGTAAAATTTGCTAAATTTTTCTCAGAAAAAAGTTTTAAAACTCGTGTGAAAACTATTCTTAAATAACTGTTCTTAAATTTGTTCGATAGGTAATATCTTTTGAACGAGAAACGTGATAAGCGTTTCAACACGGTTGCCCAATCAAGTATATATATGAAGCCGAGAAATTGTTTCAATAGTTTACCTTGATGAAATGAAAATGAAAGTTTCATTTGTACAAGAATGTTATTCACAAAAATGTCAAAGGCCAAGCCACAATGTGACATGCGGTGTTTGCTAACACTACGCTCTCTTTCTGCAGACACCGGTTCAATGTTGTGCAATCAACCAAGTATTGTTGTAACGCTTGTTTCCATAATTTTAATGGGCGAGTCGTGTTTCATTGTTCTACATACGTACTTAACCCCCATTATTGTCAAAGTAAGTTTAGTTTTCCAAGATGATGTCCACCGCTCTCTTCGTTGCCGCTACCATCGTCGTCTGCTCGGCGGACATCCCTACCATGGGACCATGTGATGTCAACGTACAGACCCAGACTGACTTTGACTTTGACAAGGTAGGGCCTATATAAATGTGGCTTTTATGAAATGACATCGAAAGCTTGTGCTGACCTTTATAGGGACACTACTATTTCATCATTACAGTTTGGGAAACATTTTGGGTTTTTAAAATAAACATTAATACAAATAAAATAGTGGAACATACAAGCATAGACAAGTGTATATTTTGTACACACATTTTTCATGCACTGAAAAAAAAAACAGAAACATTATCATGTTACTGTAACATTTCTTTGATAAGTGGTATGCCTTCATATTGGAGTAAAACACGTGTAAGCTTAGTAAAAAAAACAAAAGATGGAAGGGACACTCTTTATTGTTCAAAGATCAATGTATAAATCAACTGATTACGTCAATATAAACTCAATTCTAAAATAGGATTTAATGATGTAATCATTTATGTAATAATTTTAAACGTTAAAATTATAATGTGCGTATGCTAATTTAAATTGCAAATTATCATACTTCAATCAACAGCTTATCAGAAAATAAATTGAGTAACAATAGAATTAACTAACCCAATTAATTAGCATGTCCTCTGTTTCGCCGTCGTGTTCAGTTCCACACAGAGAACGGCGGCAGCTGGAAGACAGTTTACGGACCTGACACAAGTTTCAATGAAAACCTCAGCTCTCTGTCTATAAAGATCACTCCTACCGGGAATCACCAATATAGAGATCTTATTACATACTCAACGTAAGTATCAAACTAATTAGTTGATCAATTTATCGATGTACTTAAAAATGTAATATGTGGCCTGGTGGGTGGATATTTGTCATTTACTACCAATAAACATATCTTTGTCATACTACATTCATATTCAATTCAAATAAAAGTATCAACAACGTTTATTGTTGTGTCTTATTGTTTAAGATACAAATGGAAGGAAGGTAGATGAAAATTAGGGGTACCGGAGTTTTGCCAACGGGTGTCAGGTAGATGGGGGGCCTTCGGCCACCTCTTGGTGCGGAGATTTGCCAACGGTGGTGGTGGGAGAAAGAGTGTGAGGGAGGGAGGGAGAGCGATTGTCAGGGTTGTCTACGCTTGGCAGTTATGCGCTTGTCGCAGTGGGTTAGGTTAGGTTAGGTTAGGTTAAAAATTCAATACATTTCTTTTCACAGTCAGAGGTGCATAACTGCATTACTTTGAACACAGTCAGCATCCTGCCTGGTTTGTCCACTCCTAGCGGAAGCCACCCTCACGGTGACGTGTAATCGCTCTCTCTCCCCCTCCCCCTCTCGCGCAACCCTCAACCGTTGGCAAAACTCCGCAGTATGAGGAATTCACGGATGGGGACCCTTTCTACCTGATACCCGTTGGCAAAACTCCTACACTCGAAAATTAGCGAATATTAAAGTCTACATTCTAGGATCTTACGCTATTTTGATTAGTTGTTATTTCATTTGTGAAACATTGCGGATCGGTTTTCTACGATTTACGTTATCTATTATTTACGTTGCATTCTTGAATCACTCAAATACGTACACGCAAACTGTTTTTTTTTTTGCATGAGAACAAAATAAATATAAATATTTTTAATGCATTTTCAAATCATTAAGTTAGTTAAACAAACATTTTCGTAACCCTTTTTTACTGCAGTGGCCATCGTTTAATTTAGCTCACAGCTAAAATTAATGTTAGCTTTTTTACTCGTAGGAAAGACGGAAAGAGTGGCCTTTTGGCTGATGAAGTGATATCCAACAATGGGAACGGAGTCTGCACTGCAACAACTACTGGTATGTTTGGCCACACACGCAAACACAAATTACATTCATACAATTTGTATATATACGGAGTGTCGAAACACTGTGGGGACATAATTTACGTAGTGTAGTTCTTGTGTCAAAAGAAAGGGAAAATCGAGTATAACATTTTTTTCCAAAATTTCTTCGTTAACTAGATATCCGACATTTATATTGATGGCATAAACATTGTTATATTTGAAACTTTTTAGCCGTATGTTGAGGTAAAAGAGACGTTTTTTTAGAAAAAAACATCCTGATTCAACTTAAAATTTCAAAATGGCAGCCGTTTTAGTATTTAAAACTTACACTACTCAAATATAGCTGCTTTTATGAAAAAATGCTAGAAACACTTTTCTTTAGTATATCTATTCCCTATCTAACAACACCAAGTTTAAAAATATTGAATTAAAAATATGTGTAAGATCATGATTTGTAGGTGTAAAAAGAGGCAAACCTGACTAGCTTAGCCTCATTCTATCCCATTTTCTAACTAAAAATCGTGATATTTCAGGCATTTGTTATTTAATCTTATTTAACTTGGTATTATTGGATTGGGAATTTAAGATGCTAAAGAAAAGTGTCCTTAAATCTGCTAATACAACCAGCCATATTTTTGTAATTTAAGTTAAAACATTTAAAATGGCCGCCATTTTTTCAATTTTTAGTTTAATAAAGATAACATTTTTTCTAACATGAGTCTCTTCTACCTCAGCATACATACCACGTTTCATAAAAATTTGCAAAAAATTGTTAAAGATAAAAATGTTTATGAAGAAAAATACAAAAAGACGGATATCTGTTTAACAAAACAATATTGGAAAGAAATATTCTTTATTTTCTCTTTATTTAGACCCAAGGAATCACTAGGTAAAATATTTCCCCACCTTTTTTGAACACCCAGTGTATAGATATGTACGATACCAGGTAAAAAAAATGAACAAGTAATAGCTGAAATATTACGATTTTTAGGTTGTAAAATGGGGTAGAATAATGTAGAAACTAGTCAGGTTTGCCCCATTTTACAACAGAAAATCTTAATATTTCAGCTATTTCTTATTCGATCTTTTTGAACTTGTTATCGTTTGATAGATATTTAAAAATGCTAAATAAAAGTGTTCTTGGCACTATTTCTTAAGATCCGCCATTTTTTTTTTGTAATTTAAATATAAAAATTTTTAATGGCCACTATTTTGAAATTAAGTTTGAAACAAGATGAATGTTTTTCTAACATGGGTCTCTTCTACCTTAACATACATACCAAGTTTCATAAAGATCGGCTAAAATATTAAAATAGAAAAATGTTTATGTAAATAACGCTACCGATACAGTCTGCAAGTTTGCAACCCAACAGTATAGTTGCCATTTCAACAGCGCAGTTCATCTTTCACCTGTACCGACTCATCCCATGCCCAAGTACTCATCATGCTTGATACATACTTAGTCCTCAAACACGTACAGTACATAAAACCCTCTACATTGTCCTACAACACCCATGTGGATGAGAAAATTCTAAGCTAAAATCTATAAACCGCTTGTTAGTTTGCACAACTAGTACATTACATTGTTTTGTTCCAGACAACGATGTATTCAAGATCAACGTACTTAAATATGTACCAGGAAGATATAACTTCTATTACATCTGCAGCAACCAAGGGAGTGAGTATATATCAAGTATATAATTTGTGTTAAAGTGATTTATTTTTTATTTTGACGCAATGATGGATTTTGATTGCTTCCCTAGCCCTGTAGACCTAGGACTTTTGAGTAACTATCAGATGGATAACTGGGGTAAATTAGGCTCTATTTACATACGAGGATGTTGTCAACTTAGCCTTGGCTGGTGGCACAATTTAGTAATAAAGCGTTTGGATTTACATCCTTAGTTATAATGATTCAGCGTATCCTGTGGTGAAAGTGTGTAATGCTCAGCTTGGACGCACGTAAGACCTGACTCAGGTAGTCTACTGATTAGTTGAAAGCTCATAACCGATTGTGATGTGCTACAGAAAACGTACCGCCTTTCGAATGGATGGCGGTTCGTTCACATAAATACTGTACCACATAATTAGCCCAAAAGGTGTATTGGATTGACTAAAATGGACGGAACAGCTCATCTGCTGTAAAACTATAACCCAACCGAAGGACTTTTTTGCAGTAATACTTTATTTTAAACATCACAGGCCTTGATAACAAATAAAAGTGTCTATTCAATTTTTATCCTACATCTTCATCTCCATACTATTTACTTATCATATGTATGTTCTTATCATGTGTAGGTGACCAGACGACAGATTACAGATACGTGTTGGCTCATGGAACACTGACAGCAGCTGAAAAAACAGCCATCTTCGCTATTGACAAGCGCTACGGCTTCCAAGGCAAACTGATACCTATTGGTGGAAGCAAGTAAACACATTTAAGAATAATTTTTATCAAAGAATAAACTAAAACTTTGAACTGCTGTTGTAAATTTAAATATTTAACCAATACAAATTCTGATGAGAAAAAATCATAGCATATCCATCTAAGAGAGGTTTCAGTCACAACACTGTGCCGTGCGCGTCACTTTTATATACAGTATACATAGTATATATAGTATACTGTATATACTCAGCGCGCGAGCAACAACTTACTGGCCGAAGCGTATCAGCTGTCAATGGCAATAGAGGAAAAAAACGACGAGCATACGAGAAATCTCTCTCGTTCGTTTTCGTCTCTTGAACATCACGCTTGAATCCTTGCTGACATCTCCAAATTAAAACATAAGTATTAGAATCTAAGTGCATTAATTATCAGGGATCCCAAATTCAATCATGAGATAGTTTGAGTTCAGTTAGGGGTTGCCGGGGAGAAATCAGGGGGCTTTAGGATGTAGGTTTTCTAACTTAAAATGTCGGACTTCTCCTTTAGAGAAGCCGACATCACCTTGTCTAAACTCTAGATTCACATGGTTCTAAATTGTTAAATAATTATGTGTTGTCAATTCGATTAATTAATTGCAAAATTTCCTTACTTCTATCAGTTTCCATTTTACACTGTTAGTTCATTAATTATAAATCTTGTAAATGCAATTGTTACATATTCAGGTAGTGGGTGAGTTATAAGATTTACCTGGTATAAATTACTAAAATCATAGCTCATCAAAAGCTGGCTTAAGGTGTTAACGGCAATGGGCACGATCAACCTCAGGGTAAAATCCTTCTTTTAAAATAGACAGTTAACAGTCCTTCTTAATTTCTCAACCTCATAGTTATTATTAATATATATTTCCTTGTCACAATCCTCACGCATCCATACCACTCTTCCCTTAACTTATTCCACAGACATGCTGAACCAATTCAAGTAGTATCACCCAGTCACACAGATTCTCTACATAAATGTTACAACACATAGCAATAAAAACTGTAAACACTACTTAATAGACTTAACTCAGATAAAGACTTTAGTTAACAATTTAAATATACAGTAGTACATTTTCGTAATAAACTTAAAAAATGCTTCAAACAATAAAGAGTAATTCACATACAAATATTGCATTGTCTTATGCATGGACGACACGAGTATTTTATTTTGAAACTCTGAGGTCATGTTAACAAGCGATGTTTCCCAAGTAGCCTGGTAAATTGTTACATATAGATGTAAAACACACAGTGTGGGATGGTTATTTAATCATAAATCCTTTAAAATTCATTTTATATTGTAAACCAGATTACGTGGTTTCCAATAATTTACATTTATATTTCAAACTATTTAAGCTAAACAAATGTATACATCCAAAATGCTATATGTTGAAATTCTTATTTTTTTGTAATACACAGAGAAGTAATAACACTATTACTAATTCAAATGGAACAGCCTTTGACAATCCCAAAATAAATACACAGAATCATCAAAATAATAAGGGTCACGAAAAAACTTGAAACCAATATTGGTTTAAAGTTGTTTCGTGGAAACCAATGTAAACAAAAGAGGGGAATGTTTGTACAAAATAACTTATCAGCTGGTCGTGAATTAGATTACAAAACTAAAATGAAGAGCGACCAGTCAGCTGGCATTGTGACGTCACTCTCAAGTGTTCCTCAGTCTACAATATGTCAACCAATCTCTAGGGGTCAATTTGTGTGTAGCCTACGTCAATAATAGTAAATACCACCAATTGTGGAGCACGAAATCTGTGTTTCTATGTGTATGTGTATATATTTTGGTGCAGTAAGAAAAATCTTGGTTTTAGATTTTTTTTATTCATGTTGGTAATTATTTGATTATCATTGTTTAATGTTATTAATTTATAATGGCAACGTAACCGAAATGAGCTGTCAAAGATTTTAACGTGGGAAATATGCCACAATTGCATATGACATCTTCTATATACACTACGTGAATTTTTTCATATAGGTTTACATGTTTGATTATTATACAATATTATAAACCAAGACATTTCTAGCAAACGAAAAACAAGCAAGAAGTCTAACCTCATTGAATGAAGAGATTGATCGCAATAAGCCAATTTATTAAAACGTTTATATTAGCTCGCTTTCTTGTCCGGTACAAATGTTGCAATCAATTTTATACTAAATTCACGATGAGCTAGAGACTTGAAACCTGAAACATAGCTCACAAATGGATGACAATGCAATATTATATAATTTAATTTTCATAGTTCCCCTGGGCTACGACCCATGGGCTTGTTTTTTATTACCTCGCTTTCTTACAAATTTTGATATCAATTTTAAACGAAGTTCCCGATGAGCTAGAGACTTAAAACATGAAACATAGCTCACCAATGGATGACAATGCAATATTATATAATTTAATTTTCATATTTTCCTTAGGCTACGCCCCATGGTCTTCCAAATTTTCCAGGTTACATTTTGAAAAAATGTAGATATATCAATTAATTAAAGTCAGCAGTAAATACTTCAATTTGACAGTTCAAAGAGAAGAGTTTAAGAGGTACGGGTTCTGCTCCCGAGATATTCTAAATATAAAACAAGTATTTCAAAGTAAAGATAAAACATATTACAGATAAAAGGTTTTGGTTATGTATTAACTGGCCATATTAAATAGATTTAACATATTTAAATTTACACATTAAAGACTAAAAAGTAGAAAGTAATTTATAAATAAAAATACTTTTTTAAGTGCCACGTATTTAAACGCACTAAAAAGTATAAAATAATTTATAAATATGTTGAAAAAATAAATACTTGTAAGATTTCAAACGAAAAACGTGGGGCGCATGCAATAGATCTTAATAGTTCAATAGGTGAAGATAATTGTAAATTACCATGCGCCCCAAGTTTTGCGTTTTAAATCTACAAGTATTTATTCTTTCAACATATTTATAAATTAGTTTTTACTTTTCAGTGCATTCAAAAACGTTGCATTAAAAAAAAATATTTTATTGAATTTAATTGATTATTATTTAAAAATTTTCCAATAACCCTAACGTGTTTTAAAGCTGAAAGGAACTAAATAAGAAATATGGTTTGTGAAATAATAAAATTAGTATGCATGATAAATAATAAACTATGAATATTATTCATTAACGTTTCTAAACTTTAGTAGAACCACCAACCACTTGTAATTAAACTCTTACAATGTATAAATATTTATTTAAAAATGTTCTAAGATCTGATGAACTTTATAGATATAAGAGAATCCTAATTAAACAACAATATTAAATGAATCAAACTCACGATAGTTTAGGTGTAGTAAAGTTTTGACAAGAGTGCCTAAACACAGGCGCAGCTATAACTCACAAGTGGAGTTGAGCGAACACCACTACCCAATATTGTTTCTGTTATTTACAGCATCTGGTTATGTTTATTCAGAACAAACGAGGCCACCAAACATTGTTCCTCTCACCTTTTATCCTCAAAATGCTTATATAATGTAAATGTATGATATCGGTAAAATGTATGATATACAATTTAAAACCGATTTCACCATTATAAATCCATTAGTAAAAACGGACATTATCGAATGGCTTGTATAACACTCCACTCGTTAATTTTAAGTGTACGATAGGACGTTAAAATTTTCAATCTGGGAGCTGAAACTCTCATAAACAGAAATTAGCATGAGTGTGTAGGAAAGAAAATATTGTCACCCTTGCTCAAAAACCATATCCTCAAATTTTAAGATATTTCCATCCATCAATTGTTGGCCAGATTTTGGTAGACAGTTACTTTAATTTACGAAAATTAGCTTACGTCGTTCAAACAGTGTTTACTTCTTAAGTGAAATCTTTTGGAAAGCTGCAATTATGCTTGGCAGTAAGAATCAATTGATCATACTAAATAAAATATCCCAAGATTACAAAATCGGGTATTCAGGCCTTGTGCATGTATTTAAATTGTGTAACTAACCATTAGTTTAGAGTTTGACTTGGTTAACAAATAATAAGTGATATGACTTATTATTTATTGAGACAGGCAAAGTTAGGGACACATGGCGCCTACTTACACTTAAACTGTAAACCTATTGTGTATGCCTCTGACAAGGCCATCTTATGCATTTTAAACAGCTGATTATCGTCGACTAGACGTATTGATTTTGTTGACGACAAACAAATGTTCGATACCGATTCACATCGCGTCCATCTATGTTAGTGTAATGTCATATATTAAGGTCATATATTCTGGCATGGGGCCAAATTAGTCTAATTAGTTTGTAGTATGAATGTTAATTCCTTTTTGTGAGGAACATATGAAAATCTACGTAAATGTGTAGCAATTTTAGAAGGTAATATGGTACTAACACTACTTTAGCTAAGACTGGAATCAGGTAGGCCTCTGTATATTAGGTAAAAAAGGTAGATCATATTAATTGTCTAAACTTTAAACATTTATTTATTATGTGTAGTTCCATGAAGACTGCAGTTTCAATAATTAGTTCATTTTATATAGGTTAATTAACACATATTGCTTTATGAATAATAGTTATTCTGTATTTTAAAAAGCTAATTGGCGTTAAATTGATCATATTGGAAACTAAAAAAATTAAATTAAACTGGGTATTTTAACGTAAAAGCTAGGTATGGATTTAAATCATCATTTTGGTCCATAGCTAAATAAGAACATATACTGTAAGCGAACTAAAAAATGTATAAATAATTCTTCAAAAGGCTTAATTTTTAATAACAAAAATTTCCTGTTGAGTGCTTAAAAAACTACGTGTTTTTAAATAATTTATCTAAATTACCTTCTGTAGTTAGAAGCCTTTGAATTCTTACGGGCCTATACCCTCATGTTAGTTCAAAATAAAATGGTGTTAGACTAACAAGCATTATATTTCTGATACGAAAGTATACTATGTTGTAGTTAGTATTATTGTAGAAACTTAAAATCAATATGTCTAAGAATATATCTATTCTTTATTCATATGATGTTGAACTATGAATATAATACTTATGCCATTTATTTAACTTATACTAAACAAACACTCATCTCT